GTCGGTCGGTCGGGCTCCGGCCCGACCGCCGGGTTCTCCTCCGGTCCCGAACACCAGGCCAGCTCTTCCCCGTGCTGCCTATCACTAAACCTGAACGGGGTCGGAGGCTTAGGGCCCTCGCAGCCATGCCTGGGCTCCCACAAAGGGCGGTCTCTCCAAATGCCCCCCCCCCCCCTTCCGTGTCTCCTAGGAGCTGGCAGGGTTTGCGCTGCACCAGGGGGTGGTGGCGCCCCTGACCCCTCCACGCCTACGCCACAGTGAAGTGGGGAAAACAAAGTTATAATAGTAGGAAGTGCGGAAGACGCTGTAACATTTTTTTCTTTCTTTCTCCCGTAGATTCAGCCACAATATGGCAACTCTTTTTATAAGGAAAATGGTTTCTGCTGTGAACCCTCTCCTACATCTGAGTCGTTACACAATGACAAATTACACAACGACACACCGCGCGCTCTCCACGCTCCTGCTGGGTCCCCTGCGTGTTGCAGGCCGGGCAGGTGCAGAGCCCAGCGCAGCAGTGGCCTCTCCTCTCTCCTGCCAGCCCCTGCCCTTCCTGCAGCCGACTCTGGGGTTCAAGACCAAGGCCGTCCTCAAGAAGCGTTGCCGGGACTGTTACCGGGTGAAGAGGCGTGGGCGATGGTACATCTACTGCAAAACGCACCCAAGGCATAAGCAGAGACAGATGTAAAAATAACATGCAGGATTGTGCCATTTCCTTGGGTGACCTTATCGAAGAAAAATAAAAGTAAACGTTCTGTTTTCTGAGATTGTTGACTTGCCGGTTTTGTTGACTACTTTCCAGACATCTCATTCTTTATCCACATCTAGTCCAGTCAGAGCCCCAGCTGGGAAGCGAATCCTTTTATCTTCCTTGCAAGCTAGCAGGAGGACAGAAGACCGAGCCCAGGAAAGGCCAGTTTATCGCCCAACATCAGAATGCAAGTTCTTTAGAAGGAACTAGATTCAGTCTCAGATTGGCCCTGTGTCTGCAGTCTGCCACACTGCTGCAATCCCGTTTTCAGGATGAGGAGGAAAGGCCTTGATAACAGTCCTTAAGTGAAGGGTAATTAATTGTTTATATATATGAAGGGATTTTGGTCTGAGGTGTATGTGCATGTGTAATGTGTGCATGTATGTACGTACTACATACCCACTGTGTGCGAGCAAGAGGCCTCTCCTGTAGTGTGAAGACGGGAGCGCTCGGAGGTGGTTACAGCAGCATGGCAGGTGGGTGCTGTGCCTACTGCTGACCCAGGAGCAGAAAGCAGGCGGCCGCACATCCTGGTCAGGGTCTTGGCTCTGCTCGTTACTCGGAGTTGGGCCTTGGACAAGAAGCTTCTATTGAAGCCTTCCTGCAGGGTTCTGAGGACCTATTTCTCAGTCACACTCTTGCTCTTAGTCTGCCACAGGGTCTGGTATGCAGTAGGCACTCTGCAAGGGAATGGAAACTCAAATGATCACACCTTGTAAGCAGGCAGCCTCTTATCCTCTAGCTATTCTGAACCAGCTCATCCTGCAAGGCCAAGCCCACAACTTTGTTCTGAAGAGGTGGTTGTCATCCCGTCCAACAGACCCAAATGCCTCTGGCAGTAGAGCATGGATCGTGAAGTTGGATGCTGGACTTGTCTAGGTCTTTAGCTGTTTCATATATGTATGTACCTGCACACACACACACACACACACACACACACGTGTACACATAAGTACACCACACGCCTTTTTGATTATTTTCTCCTTGACAGGTGAATGAGGTATACTTGCCTTGTGAGCATCCAGCTCTGCAGGACACACAGTGCTGGTATATATGTCCACATAAATGAATATATTGGATATTGAGGGACAGGCAGTCTGGGTGTAGTGAAGCAATGTGGCCCATATCCACACGAACCTGTGATAATTACTAGCAACCTGGAGTTCTCACGGCATTGATAAATTTCTAAATCGCTCTCTCCTGTGATTACGAATCTGTTTGATCTAAGGTCATAGCATGTGTGCCAACCAAGCCTTCTTACAACTTATCTATTTCCCAATAATGGATGGACCAGCATTTATAACCCCACAATTCCAGCTCAATAAAAAAAAAAATTGTTTAGGTCAGGAGGCAGCAAATTACATTCTGTAGGCCAAATCCAGTCTTCACCCATTTTTTTAAATAAAGTCTTTTTGGAAAACGACCGTCTCATTTATTAATGTACTAGAGGCTCGGGGCACAGATTCATGCACCAGTGGGGTCCCTCGGCCTGGCCTGCGGGGATGGGGCCAAAATCAGCTCTCTGACATTCCCCGAGGGGTCCTGGATTGCGAGAGGGCGCAGGCCAGGCCAAGGGACCTCACTGGTGCATGGGGGACTGCAGGAGGGCTCCAGGCATGTCCGACCCATCTTGCCCAGTCCCCGATTGGTCGATCAGCTGGACCCCAGCAGCAAGCTAACTTACCCGTTGGAGCATCTGCCCCCTAGTGGTCAGTGCGTGTCATAGCTACTGATCGAAGGGCCAAGTAGTCACTTAGGCTTTTATATGTATAGACTAGAGGCCCGGTGCACAAAAATTTGTGCACTCAGGGGGCGGGGGGAGGGGGTCCCCCAGCCCGGCCTGTGCCCTCTCGCAGTCTGGGACCCCTCGGCAGATAACGACCTGCTGGCTTAGGCCTGCTCCCGGGTGGCAGAGGGCAGGCCCAATCCCTAAGTGCAGCCCCTGGTCAGGCTCAGAGCAGGGCCGATTGGGGAGTTGGGGCGCCGCCCCGTCATGCACAGAGCAGGGCGGATCGGGAGGTTGCAATGCCACCCTCAGTCACGCTCAGGGTAGGGCCGATTGGGGGGTTGGGGCACCGCCCCCTGTCACACTCAAGGCAGGGTCGATGGGGAGGTTGCGGCGCCACCCCTTGTCACGCACAGAGCAGGGCTGATCAGGGGGTTGGGGCGCCTTCCCCTGTCACGAACAGAGCAGGG